GACTGCTTTTGACTTATTTTATTATATAGACCCTTCTATGATATGGGCACTGAAACTAAAGCAGTGGAAGGACTAGTATCATACAGAAACATTTTTAGAGAAATGAAAAAACAAAAACAAAACAAAACACCAGAAATTACGATGCTTCTATAGAGTCACACCGGGTGTGCCTGCCTCTCCTTCTTCCCCTTCCTCCTCCTCCTTTCTTACCTCTACCACCCCTGAGACAGCAAGACCAACCCCTCTTCAGCCTACTAAACATGAAGACGATGAGGATTAAGACCTTTATGATGAGCCGGGCTCGGTGGCTCAGCCTGTAATCCCGTGCCTTTGGGAGCTGAGGTGAGTAGATTGCCTGAGCCCGCGGGTTCGAGATCCACCTGGACAGGCAAGACCTCATCTCTACAATAAAATCAAAAAATTAGCCAGGCGTGGTTGCGCGCACCTGTAATTCCCACTACTCGGAAGACTGAGGCAGAACGATCGCCGGAGCCCAGCAGGCGAGGCTGCGGTGGCCGGAAGCGGCCACTGCACTCCAGTCTGGGCGAGAGAGTGAGACTCCAACTCAAAAAAAAAAAAAGACCTTTATGATGATCTACCTCCACTTAATGAATAGTACTTTCATTTTTCTTTATGATTTTCTTAATAACATTTTCATTTCTTTAGCTTACTTTATCATAAGAATACAGTATATAATACAAATTACAAAATATGTATTAATTGACTGTTTATCAGTAAGACTTCTGGTCAACAGTAGTCAAATTTTTGGGGGAGTCAAAAGTTATATGCAGATTTTCAACTGTGTAGGGGTTGAGGTGCCAGTCGCTGTTGTTCAAGGGTCAACTGCAAATACATCGGGCTCAAAATATAAAAAGAAATCACAAAATATAAGTTAGTTATTGTTTTGTGTCTTCAAAATGTAGCATTAAGTCAACTGGTCAAATAGAATTCAATTTGTAGTTACATAAAAACATTAGGGTTAAATCACAAGAAATAATTTATCCTCAAACACACATAAAAGTTGTATAAACCATCTCAAAATTACACCTAACATGGGAAGTAGGGACAACTGAGTATGTTTGCTCTCATGATATGGTTTCTATAAGAAGGCATTCCCAGGGCCAAAAGCATCCCACAAACACTGTGTCTGAAATCCAGCAGGAACTCACAAAAACTTGTTGGGATAGTCCTGTTTATCTTCAGTTCAACTCTGCAAGCATTGCTCAGAGCTTATTATGGCCCAGCCCTTGATGGGAAGCCCCACTTGGTTATATAATAAAGGTTTCTTCCTTCAAGGAGCTTGAAATGTAGTAGTGGAGAAGACAAACTTGTAGAAACTGAATGAGAACGGCATTTCCTTTCACCTTTACCTGTATTTATCAGGCATTATTTACTCATCCCATTGAGACTTCCAGTCATGAACACAGCCTACACTAGACTATTCAGATCTTCCAAAGGTCAACACAGTCCCACCTTTGCCCCACAGGTAAAACTTCCTGAACACATTTAAGTCTTTGCTTCCATTTTATCAGATAAGATACAGTTGGTGACACCCTTACATTGCCAGAGTCTAGGTAAACATTTAGGGAAGATCACAGATTTAGGAAGGCCCATATTTATGAATAAGACACTCTTAAAGATGCTCAATCACTGTACAGGATACCAGTATATCTTTTTTTGGTAGTTTGCCCCTTGAAATAAGAATATAGCTAAATGTACATTTCTGGACATACTGCAGCATCTGATGAAAATTCTGGCTTCTTGTTCAGAATAACCCTCTCTCCTCCACAATCATTATGCTCACCCACTACTCTTCCACACATCTTTTAAGGCCTTCTACTGCCTTCTGGAAGATTGACAACTTTCTTCTCTGACTACCTACTACTTAATTACTCTGACGACTTACTACTTTTCCTGACTACTTACTAACTGCTTTGAGATTGCTTTGCAAGCTTGCATTTTCCCTTGACTTGATTATAAGGCCATTTTTGAAAGGGATTGATTCCATCTTGTTCCCTTCCCCATAGCATATGTCATGTATCCAGCTTTCCACAAACAGCTACTGAATAGAAGGACTGAGCTTGTGGGTTTAACTCAAATGTATATGCATATGGGAGTATGGAATAAGGATTTGGGCATAATATCTTCACAATAAATAGTTCTTGTACTTCACAAGAAGGTATTCCTCATAACCAATTCTTAACCTTTTGATAGTTGTGATGTTTGTTTCCTTTGGGGTGTTGTCAATGCATTGAGATTTATCAGTGGAACTGATCTATAATTTGGGCAAAGTAATTGCCATCATCCACACAATCCTAAAGGTAGTTGTATCTTATGGTAAACCACTTCCTTGCCCGACCTCCTTGCATGTGATAGTAGTGATTCCACTAATCTAATTTGTCAGCACCCTCCAATACTCACTAGGGAGTTTTGAAAGCAACTGAAAATAGCCTCTAGCTTGTTGGAGACCTACTCAAATGCCATATCTCCTATAAAGAGGCCTTTTAATCTGTCTGTTCTCTAAAGACTTGGCTCTTTCTCAGTAGCAAGATGGGGAAGTTGGAAAGGACCCTGGTAGAATTACATGTAGAGAGGTATACTTCAAAGATTATGCCTTCTTCAAAATCATCTCTCAAAATCATCTACTCCTAGCCACTTTCCACCTTCCACCAGTTCAGTGTTTCTCCAACTTTCCTCTTTCCCATATAACCCTCAAGATTCTTGCATTTTCTGTGTATTACTTGTATTTTTTTACTTTATAATTTTCTTTATATCCTCTGTCTACTTAGGCCACACCTTAGTCCCTGCACCCAACCCAAAAAATTGTATAGAGTAGGGGCAGCTGGGATTTTCTGAGTTCCTTCACTTCTTTTAGATTTTCCCTCAAATTCACTATCATGGCCACAGAACCTTGCATACATTAGGGGCTCTGTAAATCATGGTAGAATGAGTGAAAGCTGTCAACATCCCTAAGAAGACCATCACTACTTTTCCCATGACCAAAAACCATGACCTCGTTTTGCCAAGTCTAAGTTGCAAACTCCCTGAAATAGGTGGTCTTAGTATTATGACTGGTGACTTATAAACTCCTAATATTCATAATAATATGAAAGAAAAAAGGATATTGTTTTTTATGTTGAACTATGCTATAAAGGTACAAAATATACTTGTCTCTGACCTCCCTCCAAATTTACACAAATAAACACACACATATATTCTTTAAATTGTTACAACAATGTTTTAATGCAAGGAGCCTAAGAAGCTCACTAGTAAAGTAGGGTGGAGTTGTTCTTCCTCACAGCTCGAATTGTTTGCTTTGATTGACCAAAGCTAATAAACAACCTCAAGTACAAGTTCAGCCTTTTCATGAGCCAAATTCATCAATTTCAGACCAAGTATACATGTTGATATTTGTTAACACAATTAGACAACTTTTGTAACACCATTCAACTATGTTGAGTAGATTAGCTAACAGTGATAGTATAACCTCCTTGGTATGGGAGAGTCCAGATTAAAATAGAATTTAAAATTAAAATAACTAGCCGATGCAGTTTTGCAGAAGGACTTTAAAAATCCCCAAGCCACAAACATCTTCATAAATGTAACATTTGCATTACACACCCACTCCTTTGGTTCCCCTGAATTAATAACACATAGCAAAGCAAGTTTACCTGTGAGAAAAGTTTTTTCGGCAATGCAAACTGATGAAAAACTTTATTTACTTACCTACAAAAAAAAAGGTTTTAGTGAAATTCCTTATTTATCTTGCACCCCTAACACTTAGTGAAGTGACCTTCTCACTATGAGAACACAATGAATGTCTACTGAAGTAAGAAAGAACCAAATATTCTAAGGATTTACTACTGGTGTGGAATTTACTATTTAATGCCATAGCAGGCGCCAAATAATGGCAACCATTGTTATCAATTTCGACACTCATTGAACAGAAATGTGAGAAGTGGTATAGTAAAGCGAAAATTCAACTGAGCTTGGAGGGGATCGTTATGCAGGGTTGACAGAATCTGCCCGTTATGGACCTTGTAAGAAGAGAGAGACTGTGCCCAGGTGCCATTGCAGGGGCCAAGAGTAGGGAGCCTGACCATAGCCAAGTCAGAGCCTCCAGACCATTCTTCTATGCTTTGGAGTGCTCCAGGTCAAACACAGGAGAGCCCTGTTTACTGCTCCCAGGCTTGCAATCCTTCTGTGGTCAACTGCCTGCACATCCGCTCCAGGTCACATGAGAAGGACTCTGAGCCACTGGTATCTGCAACGATCTATCTCGCTCTACACTTTTGTCCTTACTAGGACGGTGTTTCTTAATAGTTGTCCGTGCTCATTCCTGAAACGTCGTTTAAAAAGTGCAGATTCCAAGGACCCAAGCTGGACTTCATGAATCAGGATTTCCGGGGAATTTGTTCTCAGCATAACGAAATTTTTTTAATTCACTACTCCTTGAAAAAGCCAATGCTTTTTGGATTTTTTAAATGGAAAAAGGTGCTAGAGACTTTTACCAGGAATATACAAGAAAAATAATAATAGTAATAATAATGGGCAGAGTAGGGAGAGGCAGGGGTCGTTGGGAGCGCCATCTAAAAACGTGGAAGCACTGGTGTCATTCGCCTGTCTCAGCCACGTTGACGCTCAGGTAGGACCCCTGAAGAAAAAAATAGATTTGGGGCGCGCCCGCCCGACGCGCCAGGAGACTTTTGAATGATGTGAAACTGGCCCTCAGGGCCACCTCCCATGAGGGTTCCTAAACCGCAGGAAAGGGCGGGACATGACCCTCCCAACCATCCAGACACGAAAGTCCCGTAGCGCGCAAGCGCGTTGGCGGTCCTAGGCAACTCCCCCACACTCCCGTTACCATTGGCAACGGCACTTGGCTCCCAAAGCTAACGTGACACAAAAAGGTGGGACTTCCGGCTTTAGAAGCCAATGCGCACGCGGCGACCGACAGGTCATACGGTACTTCCTGTCGTGTGATCCTGAGAGCCAATGAAAGTGCATAACTGCAGACCACGTGCCTCCGTTCCCATTAGCAACCAGAGGCTTCTAAACCACCTACGCTCCCTCCGCATCTTCTGCGGTCCAACCGTCCTCGGTGATTCCAGGCTTGGCGAGTCTTTGCCTGACCTCTCTGGCTCCTTTAGACTACCGACTCCTGTCTGCTGCCTACCGCCTGCCGCCATGGTGAGTAACCGGTCCGCTAGCGCCGCACCGCGCCCGGGAGAGAGCAACGGCCAGGGCTGCAGACGCGGAGCGGGTGGGCCCGGATTGATGGCGTGTGGGTTGAGTCGCGCTCCTCAGCCTCTCGGAGGAAGGAGGCTGCGCCGGGCGCGGGAGGTTCGATTAACTTCGGCCCCAGCCCCTCCGGGATAATCCTCGGTGAAACCTTCTCCTGGCCGCCGCGCTCAGCCGCGTCTCTTCGTTTCTTGTTCCTGCCTTGGGATGGCCGAGCCAAGTCACAACTCGCAGGTGGCGGGTGAAGAGAGCCAGAGGGAACCGCTGCCGGCCAAGGCTCAGGCTAGGTTCTCTATTTCAAGAAGCTCTGAGTTTTTCACACGTACACGCATGAACTCGCGCGCGCGCGCACCTCTTTGGCTACGTAAAAAATTACGTGCTAACCAGCTGAGAAAGGAGAACAAACCCTGCTTTCTGTGTGAACTTGACTGAATCCAACTTTCTGATATGGAAACGACATTGAGAATCCAAGCACCCCATTTTACAGCTGAGGAAATTTGGGTGACATTTCTTTTGTTTTAGCCTGCTTAAAGAAGACCACTAATTCCTCCAGCGGATATAGTTGCCAACTTAAATACCAGTCATGCTTAGAATAATGCACAGTACTTAAGTGATCAGAAAAAGGGATGAAACCAGGATTGAGAACGCCACTTAAAAAGGCTACTGAAGTCCCTCAGCAACCAGAATTCCTATTTAGCCCAAACTGTGTTGCAAGTATCATCTGGGAGCGGAGAATACAACTGTGAACATAACAGACCGTTCCCTACCCTTTTTGAGTTTAGAGCCTGCCCCATTCATTCTCTTGATTTCTCTAAAATATCGCAAGAATCAGTTGAAAAAATAGTACAAAAATTGATATTTGTTCCTGTTCTATCTTCTGTCATTACTTTGTATCAATTTATCAAATTTTTGTCAGCAACTGAAGCTATGGAGTCAGGCTTAGGTTCTTTATTAGTAAATTGCAGACAACTACACTAGAGTTGTTAAAACGATAATTGAGATAATGCATATAAAATAAATAGCACAGTACCTGCTAAAACATTAAGTACTCAATATATGATAGCTTTTATTAGAGTGCACTCATTTTATCATTACAGTTTCTTCCTTGTACTTCTCTCAGTAAATTATATATGGGCTTGTTGGCATGGTCAGGAATAGGGAACCATTTCTGGTACTTTACCCTTTCCTCTTCTACCTCCTTCTCCTCCACACACACTTTATGGTTCAATTTCAAGACACTAGCTTGGCAGTGCTCTGGTGGAATTTCTTGGCATATACTTTCAGCTGTTTTCTAAATTTTAATAGAATATTTCTGCAACAAAATTCAAACAAATTCTGACTTCCCCATTGGAATAATTCTCATTGTTTCTAAACATTTTAGAGCTGATTATCATATCTACCTCTCATTTAGCAGATGGCAAAACTAATGCCAGTGAGGTTTAGGTGACTTGGTAACAGTCACACAGGTGGATAGTTTCATAGCTAGACTTAAACCTGGTAAACCAGGTTTTGAATTCAGTCCTTTGTCTACTTATACACACATCAACCTATTTCATCTCCTTTCTAATGGCCTATATACACGTAGTGTACAACGGAAGCAAAGGTTTGTGGATAGCCATTTCCTAGGCTCTTTTCCCTGTTGAACTCAGCTGTCCATTTCTGCCCTCCTTCTTTACTGCTATCCATTTTAAAGGAACTTTTCTGTCCTTTATCCTCCTCAGTTTGAGTACTTTTTCCTTCTTGATCCTAGAACAGTCTTATCTCTCCTTAACAAAAGAGAAAGGAATTAGCAGATAGGAATCGCCCTCCTGCTCTGCACAAGGCACTATGCTAAGTGTTGTGTGGTATAAGAAATGATTCATTTCTGTTCTCGCTCATATAGTGGACCTTGAATATCCAGTGTAATACTATAAGAAAATGACTGACAGTGGTGGGAAACTATGGGGGTGGGAGGGGAAGGGAGATGGGATTAATGGTAAATATCTGTCTGGGGACGGGGAGACACCTCTTATCAACAAGGGTGCCTGAACGGAGCATATTTGTATACCTAACCCTTAACTATACCCCACAATATCATTTAAAAAATTGATTAAAATTTTAAAAAGAGAAAAGAAAGAAAGAAATTATTCATTCCTTCACAGAGTTTGCAATCTAGTTAAAAGAGCAACATCTGGGGGGAAAATGACTAATAGTGTAAGGTAGTAATCAGTCCGTGCTGGTGTCCAAGAAGTTGCAGAGATGACACATGCTAGTTTTGGAGGAAGGCATAGCTCTGTAGTTACTGAAGATATATTGGGAGGTGTCAAAGAGTGCATAAAACAGATTAGGCCTTGGAGGGTGAGTAAGAATACAGCGATGTGGCAGAGTGTGTGTGTACTACCTGGAGAAAGCCAATTTTATATATGTCTTCTCACCTCTGCATTCAGCAACATTATATTGAAGCCTTGAAATCAGCCACGGTGGAAGTATTTACACCATGGAAATCAGCAAGGGCTACAAATCAGGACCTCCCTACCTGTAGAGCCAACTGTTAAACATTTACCAGCATACCACTGGATAGGATTTCAGATGTCTGGAGAGAAACTTTTAGGGTCAGGGTAGCATGAGTAAAAGTCAAGGCAGGAGATTTAAGTTATGCTTCAGGTCTGATGAGCAGACTATTGTGGTGAAAGTAGAGTATTCATATAATAGAATTCTGGGAAACAGGATTAGAGAAAGTTTGGAAAGTTTTGAGGGGTAAAGAGTGTGAATGTAATACTATAGACAGTGAATAACTGAGAATATGTATTTGTGGTTTATTTTAGCAAGTTGTGACATTGTTTTGAGATTTCCAAATTGTGAGATATACTTGCCTGTACTGATGTGACTGTAAGAAGTAATACTGTCTCTAAGTGTTCAGTTGTTATTTTAACTGCCTGGGAAATTTGTCTTGTTAGTCACAACTCAGGTGCATATGCAGCTATAACATATTGCATTTGAGACTTTAAAGGTTTCCGTCTCTCTCCCCTTCTACTCTTGCTATCTCCAGTCTGTCCTCCAGACCTTAAAGGCATAGGCTACTCAAACCGCTTTGTAAAGCTCATCAGTAATTTAATTACAAATCCAACTCACATTACTGATGCTTTGCTCTTCGTAGCTGACCTGCTCTACTCTTTGGCTGTTAGCCCTTCCTCCTTGCTTGCCTCTTAAATATCTATCAAGCTCTTAACTGGTTTAAAGTAAAGACCAGTTAGTGGCTCTTTCCAAACTAAATAAACTTTTTAAAGCTGTATTTGATGGAGTAAGATTAAGTTGCTGTAATAGAGTTGCTAGTTTTTTCTGTACGGTTAAGTGACTTAAAGAATACATAACTTTGTCTCTCACTAAACAGCAGTCTTTACTACAGGATAGCTTGTATATTTTCATTGTGGTTCTTCCATCAGTTTCTCAAGACTAACAATTAAATTACTTCTTTCTTTTTCAGGCAGAGTTGGGCCTAAATGAGCACCATCAAAATGAAGTTATTAATTATATGCGTTTTGCTCGTTCAAAGAGAGGCTTGAGACTCAAAACTGTAGATTCTTGCTTCCAAGACCTCAAGGAGAGCAGGTATGCGAGAACTCCAAGGAAACCAAATAGCAATGTGGAGGCTTTCTGTATGGGATGCCATAGCAGAGGCCATATAAACTGTCTCTGGGATTATCATGATCAGTTATTCACTGAGAGCAGCTACACTAAGCCTTGTGAATATATGAAACTCAAGAAATGGTATTGTAGTGGAAGCAATGAATCTGTTATCAGACATACACGTGATGATAATTATGGGATGACAGATCTTCAGAAGGGCAGTCAGGAAATCATGAAGGGCTTGTGGATTAATGATTGGCTCGTTGTATTAAAGATTCCAGAACTTTAATTACTTGAGTTACTAATTAAAAGAGTAGGACCCTAAGGTATGGCAATTAGCAAGAAAACACCGTGTGGTTCATATTGGAGAATTAGGGGAGAGGAAAACAGTAGGAAACCATAAAAAACTTACTGACCAGTACCAAAATTGTTAATTGATTTGTAGCAAGAGATAATAGTTTTGGTTGGACCACAGTTGATTTGTAACAAGAGGTGAATTTTAAGTCAGACATAAGTGAAAAAGACTTCCAAGTGATCTCCAACTGCCATAAGCCAGGAACAACTCAACAGTAGAGGCCATCAGCCTTAGACCATTTTCTGTTCAACCCATCAAAACAATCTGGTACTGGTCTCAACCCCCAGCAGATGAAAGCATCAGTGTAATTGGTGAAAACATGTTTTAGTAAATCTCTTGAAAGGTAGAGGTAACTTGCCCATGGTCACAGATCTCTTGTTCCCAGAGAGATTTTCACTATAATCTTTTAATCCCATAGATGACATGAACGTGAGTTTCTTAATTTTGTTGTATTTTGTAAATTGTTTTTGTTGTTTATCCGGAAGTTATGGATAACGGTTGTTTTTCAGGCTGGTAGAGGAAACCTTTACCATAGATGAGGTGTCTGAAGTCCTGAATGGTTTGCAGGCTGTTGTTCACAGTGAGGTAGAGTCTGAGCTCATCAACACTGCCTACACCAATGTGTTACTTCTGCGGCAGCTGTTTGCACAAGCTGAGAAGTGGTACCTTAAGCTACAGACAGACATCTCTGAGCTTGAAAACAGGTAATAAAACTTGTACCTATAACTGATAGTAGCAGCCCAAGCATAATTTTAAAAGCTAGTGAAAGTCTTGCTGCTGCTGCTTTTCTTGGAGCTGGTGTATGAGAAAATTTGATTAGGGTAGCAGCAAAGCATAGAGTCACTGAGTGATCTCTTAGTACCACTCCAAGCCCTTGTAAAAGTTATCTGTTTCTCCTGTTCCTAGGTTTTACAAAGGTCACTGAGATTTTTCAGGCTGTTATTAATTATTCCTTGTGACATCTTTGTTAACTTGATCAGTATTACAATTAGTCTCTATAGACAGGTCAACCAAGAAAGATTATAAAATATTGGAAAAATTAATTCAAATATAATAAATACCATGAATTCAGACTAGTAGCATTGGAAGTTTATTTCTAGATAGTTGCATTTAAAATTATATACTGCCAAGCATGGTGGCTCAAGCTTGTAATCTCAGCACTTTGGGAGGCAGAAGTGAGAGAGTTGCCTGAACTCAGGGATTCGAGACCAGCCTGGGCAACTTGGTAAGACTGCGTCTCTACAATAAATCAAAAAATTAGCCAGCTATGGTGGCACACACTTATAGTTCCAGCTACTTGAAAGGCTGAGGCAGAAGGATCGCCTGAGTCCAGCAGGTTGAGGCTGTGGTGACCATGAGCATGCCACTGCACCAGCCTGGGTGACAGAGTGAGACTCTGACTCAAAATAAAAAAATAAAATATATACTTATATTTAAAATAAGAACTATAAGATAGTAAAAACTTTCTAATCTGATCAGTATCAAAGAGCTCATTAATTCTAAAAATATGGCAAAATCTATGACATTAAGAAAGGGAATGCAGAAATCAGAAAGGACTGACCGCCAAGCTTTGTGAACTGCCCTCCTAGCACAGTTGCAGCACATTGGCTCACGGACAGAGTGGTGAACAGTGCTGAGGACAGCCTATGGGCAGGGAAGGAAAAGCATTTAATTTCTGCAGCTGTCACTAGGTGACTGGTGAGAAAACTCTGAGAAGCTGACGTCTTAAGAAGCCGAGAAGAGTAGTCACTGCCATTCTCTCTGTAAGCACGTGTCATCAGCTTTCATTCACCATAGCAAATCACCAGGTGGCTCACCCCACACTGTCTTTCCTGGGAATATGCAATGGTCTTTTTCAGAGGATATTGTGGACTAATCTCATAGTGCCTCAGAAATACAGAGTTGACTACAAATGTCACCATATTTTTTCAACATTGTGGTTTATTTCTAGTAATATATATCGTACACCTGGTAGGTATAAAATACTATGTGCTGTGGGCAATTACATTTGAGTCCATGTGGTTTGGATCCCAGCCGTTTGTAACTAAATGTCATTTTTGCTGTGGTGGAGTTGTGGCCATTTTCCTCTGTTCTCTCTGACATGTAATAGCTCGATGCCAGTGATTTTATTCTTGTAAGTGATAGATATCTATTTTAAATGCATACGTTTTTATATTTGCTTTTATCTTCAAGAGAATTATTAGAACAAGTTGCAGAATTTGAAAAAGCAGAGATTACATCTTCAAATAAAAAGGTAATTTTTTGGTCATTCTAAATCCATATCTTCATAGTCAGTATTTAAAGCCCTTAAGTCATTCAAAGCTTTCAGAGGTCAAAGTGAGAACTCTTAAGGAAAAGCACTCAGTTCAAGAGTAGAATTCAAAAATTGTCTCAGATTTTCAGGCAAATGAAGAAAAGTTTTGAAAGTAAATATAAAAAGTTGTTTTTTCTGTTACGTCCTACACAGAAACACAGTCTCTGCAATCCAGTCTCATCCCCACTGTATAACCTCTTTACTCAAATGCTATAGAGCATAGACTTTGGGATCAGCCAGCGCTGGATATACATACTGACTCTTTCATACCCCGGACCTTGTGTGACCTTCAGCAGGTCTCCTGAGCCTCATTTTACTCATCTGTCAAGTGGAAACAATACTAGTAGTTACCTACTTCTCCTTCTAATCATTCTCATAACTCTCAATGACCATTTCCCATTCCACATTATAGATACATCATCAATATTCCCTGTTGCTGGAAAGTTAAACATTGCTGAAATAAATCCATGTATATATACATGTTAAACATTTTTCAGTTAATTCTTTGGGACATATTTCTAGTTAAAAAATTTCTGAGTCAGAGGGCATGGATCCTTTGTTTTTAATACTTATTGCTAAACTGCCCAAATATTTGTGCCAAGTTACTCTTCATCTATAGTATACTTGCCTAAATCTTCATCAGTAGTATAGTCTTTCACAGAGTCTAAGGTTCAAGTAGAAATCTCTGTTTCACCTCCCACAGGTTAAAATCCTAATCCCTAGATGTTAGGATCTGTATCAGATCAGGCTCTGAGCTCCTTCCTTTCCCCCCTTCTTCCCTTGTTTCCTGTCCATCTGTATTTTCTTTTAAAGATGTAGACAAATGGGTTTCATTTTTATCTCTAACATATATCGGGCACAGTGGGCCAGGCACATTGTAGGCACTGCTGGAACATAGACATAACAGAGAATGAAACCAACAAAAATCCCCACACTGGAATTGACATGCCAGTGGATATTATTACATACAGTGTATTCTATTTAGAAAGTGCAAGTGTTCAATGACTATATATGCTTTATTCTATAGTGATTTCAGTTTGGTTTCTTTATTTTATTTCAGCCCATCATAGATCTCACAAAGCCAAAACTTGTTCCACTTAATGAAGGTGGAACAGCAGAACTCCTAAATAAGGTAATGTCATCATTTTGAGAAATGGAAAACCTTTCATTCTGTCCTCTCATTACCTGAACAACTTTATGGTAGAGAAACAGGTGGAAGACTAATTCAGACTTTGGTCCACTAAGGGTAATTAGTCCATTACAGTAGTTTTACTTGATGGTATCCAGTGGGCCAAAAGAGGGCATGCTTCTGTAGGAGCCTGAAGCAGCTTTTTTTTTTTTTTTTGAGTTGGACTCTCACTCTGTCGCCCAGACTGGAGTGCAGTGGCCGCTCCCAGCCACCGCAGCCTCGACCTGCTGGGCTCCAGCGATCCTTCCACCTCAGCCTTCCAAGTAGCTGGAACTACAGGCGTGCATTACCACGCCCGGCTCATTTTTTGATTTATTGTAGAGATGAGGTCTCACCAAGTTGCCCAGGTGGGTCTTGAACCCACAGGCTCAGGCAGTCCACTCACCTCAGCCTCCCAAAGGCACGGGATTACAGGCTGAGCCACCGAGCCCGGCTGAAGCAGCTCTTGATAACACCTTTTCATGGTAAAATGAATAGTGCGAACTTTTGAACAGTGTTTATTGATGAACATGTGAAGCTTATAATCTGTGATAATAGGGAAGGGGTTTGTTATTTGGGTTTTTTTAAGACGTTAGCAAAAAATTATTTATCAGCACAGGTTGAATAGCCCTTATCCAAAATGCTTGGAGCCAGAAGTGTTTTGAATTTTAGAATATTTGCTTTCTGCATACCTAGTGGAGCATCCCAGATTCAAAAATCCGAAACCCAGAAAACTCCAATGAGCAGTTCCTTTTAGCGTTATGTCAGTACTCAGAGAGTTTCAGATTTTGAAGCCTTTTGGATTTGGGATGCTCAACCTATATACAAATAAATATTTTTCATGACTCTTGTGTTCTCAACATTTTGCTAGATGTTGTTAGAGATAAAAAGCAGTGTAGGCAGCAGACACTCTTGCTGCTGTCCTGCCCGATGTGCCCTTCACAATGTTATCTTCTCTTTAACAAATCTACCTTTCTTAATTCAAAAAACAATTTTTAAAAAAGCAGTGTAACACTTGTTCCCTTGTTTCCTTGTTCTCAAAAATGTAATCGTTTCATTGGGAAGGTAGAATCTCCTATCTCTGTTTCTGCAACGTATTCTCCCGAATACGTTCCTGTATGCTACAGGCATCACAGGGTAGCAGAGAAGACACAGCTCCATGTGGATGAGAGTAGATGAGAGCAGGCTCTTGGGTGGTGATGCCTGATTAAACTGTCAGAAGGAAGAGAAGGGGGCATGTTGGGCAGAAGAACGGAGGCAGTGATCAGAGGCAGACAGGAGGCTGGCACGATGTCAAACAGCACAGTGCTCTCTGACTAGGCTGATGTGTGTGTCAGAGATTAGTAAGAAAGACAGGACTAACAGGTGACTCCTGTGTAGGAACTGGATAAGGACAAAGGCATTTGGCCTCAGCTCAGTCAGACCCAGTTGAGGGCTTGAGCACAGGCTACTGAAATGATGAAGATGGTGTTTTCAGGATAAATGATAGCAGTGTGTGAGAACAGACCTAAGAGTTGCAGGATCAGCTAGGTGAGAGATGGCGGGGAAGGGGGTCTTTGAGAAAAGGCAGAGAACAGGGAGCTGAAGGAGAAAAGGCATGTCTGAGAAACTGAGAGAAAAAGAACTAGAAGTCTTAGAACCAAAGCTACCTCACAGGTTTTGAGGCTGGTAGGTGGGACTACAATTGGGTTATTACCAAAATACCAGTAGTGCATTTTTGAGCTATTATGTAACTTAAACTTAATTTTAAATTTTCAAGTATTTAAGTATTTTGACTAAAATAATAAAACTTGAATTTACCCACAAAGGAAATTTTAAGACTTCAAGAAGAGAATGAGAAATTGAAGTCAAGGTTGAAGACTGTTGAAATACAGGTATCGGAGAAGTTCTTTAACAAAAGTATTGAAAAGAGTCACCTACAGATTAAATACTGAATGTGTTTTGTTTAAACATCATAATAGGCTACAAATGCATTGGATGAGAAGTCAAAACTTGAAAGAGCATTGCAAGATTTACAGCTTGACCAAGGAAATCAAAAGGTGAAAAAAGTTTATGCTATCTTCTTCACATTTTCTGAATAGGGTTATAAAATTGAGTCTTAATTCCTGTTCATTATACCCAAGCCTGGCCACTCCCTGAGATGAATGCCACGTTGTCCTGCCTTGTACATACTTGCCCAGGAAAGGCCAGGTGAGAACCAGTGCCCTTTCCTCTGTCCGTCCTCCAGGGCAGAGAGGCAATGCACAGTTCACATGCCTAAGATGCCCTGGGGTTTCCCTGGCAAACAAGATAGTCCTACATTTATTTTTTTAAGTTTTTCCCCTTTCCATGTTATATTCAATTACAGTGGGGAAAAAAGGAAACGAAGAAAGGAAAAGTTAATTGGATTTGTATTTGGGTTTGATTATGCTGAACATACTTAAGTTTGCCTTTGATGAACGTGACAAAATGGAGGAAACGTACTAGTTACAAATCCTCAGTTCCATCTGTATCTAGCAACGCTGTGAACCACAGTGAAATTCAGTGTTGTAGTTCTTCAGGCTTGTCTGAGTGTGATGACCGAATGTCTCACCACCTGCTGGAAATCATTGCGTGCACACTTCTGTCCCCTGTGGCCTTTCCATTGAGTGTGGATGCTGCAATACAATTTCATGTGAGCAGAACCATCTGGGTGAATTCTCCATGCAACATTGGCTTTTCTAGTGATTGTGCTGTCATTATAAATGTATGCCAAACAATTCCAAATCTACTTTGCTAGATTTTTACTAAACTTTTTCTTTTAAAATTTCAAACATGCACAAAAGTAGAGAGAATAGTATAATGAACCCCATGTACTCATTACCACTCATCAATGCATGACTGTTCTGGTAATCTGTTCCTCTACTTCCTTCTTCCCTCTCTCCCCAGGCTTTTCTGAAGCAAATCTCAGACATTGCATCATTTCATCTGTAGATATTTTTTAAACAGAAAGATACTTCTTTTATGGTTAATAAAAAAAAGGAAAATATATATGATTTTTAACTATTATATGCGAAGGACCATAGATTTATGGAAAAAGAGAGCTGAATGCCCAGAACAGCTTTATAATTTCTCAAAAGTAAAACAATTACAAACATTTTTGAATGATGAATTTGTTTAAAAGCCATTTGGGGCATTGCTCCAATTTTACTTTAAGATTTTAGACACAAAAGCAAAATAGATACATGCCTTTATTAGTTGCAATGAAATAAGCAATGAAATTTTTAAAAAATTTTTTTAAAAGACCAGATTTCAAAAATGAGCAGGGATTTGGTTCTTTTGTTAAAAGTACTTCTTCATATACATATTTAATCCTATCCAGTCAAAAACAAGATTCAGACAGAGAGAAGGTACAGCTGCTTGTATTATGCTGTAGTTGTCAAAGTATACAAAAATGTTTATATCTCCTTAATGTAAAAAACTTGAAATCCTGTACATTTAGAAAACCATATAGTAAGTAATTATTAATTATGTTCTAATAATATTTTCCTATAGAAGCTAAAATATATCAATTAAGGTTTTTGGTATAATTTGTATTACTTTTATTATTTTTTCCATCTATACCATTTTGAAGAAGTCAAAATTCTTTACCAGGATTTTTTTTAACTTGGCTTTTCTATTCACATCTCAGTTGTGGTACACAAGATATTGTCAAATTTAGGATCTCAATCTCTCCTGCTCCTCTTAGACTGGAATGCCAGCAGTTCATAAATTGTACTTTATGTATGTATTTGAAATTCAATGACTCTTAAGTGTCTGCTGTGTGCAGGGCCCCATGTACTGGAGCTGAGGATAGACTGGGTCTGCTGGTCACCCTGAAGGGCTGGCACTTGTCCAGGCGGGCAAGGGAGCCTGGCATGTACACAGAGCACACATCATTTTTTTCTCTCCTATAATGTTGAATCGACATTCTAAAACAGTTATCATTTGGAATGTCAACATGAAATTATGCTCATGTACTTATTTTTCATAGGATTTTATAAAGGCCCAAGACTTGAGTGACTTGGAAAACACAGTTGCTGCTTTAAAGAGTGAATTTCAGAAGACACTTAATGACAAGACAGAAAACCAGAAGTCTCTGGAGGAAAATCTAGCAATAACCAAGCACGACCTGCTCAGAGTTCAGGAGAAACTAAGCCTGGCTGAAAAGGTCAGAAGACCCATTTAAGGGATTTGTCTGTTCATGTCCAATGAACTGATACAGTGTAGAGGATAAATGTGGTAAGATAAACATTGGACAACTGCAAATTCAGATAATTTTTTTTCTCAAGGTATTAGCCAATATATGTTCTAAAAATTGGTCATTTCTGGGTAGTGAGATTCCTCCTCCTTTGTGATAGAGGAAATCTCCTCTCCTTCTGTGGGGTGAAATGCCTCTCCACAGGTGGCTCCTATCATACCCACAACTTCTGCTGCTCTTCTCCTTCCTACAGCCTGCAGAGGGATGGGCGACTTTTCTTCTTTAAAAAGATTTCTATACCTTCTTCATAATTAACATGAAATAAAGATAGAGCTAGATTCTTCATTTAGAGACTCTTAAGAATATGGGAGCTAAAATTTAATTAAACTAAAAACCCTTCTCCTAAAATGCTGACACTGCTTTGGGATTTGGAAAAATATTGCGCTTATTTTACCTGAAAATTAGTTTAATAGTTCAAATATATTTCTCATGTCTAGGGCATAGTATGCTTGTGTTATTTGATAACATTGTACTTGGGGAAATGCTGTTTTATTGGATTCTCATTTGAAATAATATATTTTTAAAGTTTGGATAGTCTTAATTTTATGTAAATGTATTTTGAAGGAAATTAGAAAATAATATAAGTAAAATTTGAGGAAAAAAACTCACTTTTATTACATTTGTTATTTTCTCCTTAACTATTTCTTAGTAATGGACTGACATTTTTCACTAAGCAGGAATTAGAAAAGAAATTTCAACAAACAGCAGCTTACCGAAACATGAAAGAAATTCTTACCAAGAAGAATGACCAAATCAAAGACCTGAGGAAAAGATTGGAAAAGTAAGCCATACTGATCCTGCTTTCAGATTTATCCCCCTGAGCTGATGTTTGTTCTCTGTTAAATCTAAGCTTATGTCCAGATGGGTCAAGCCAGTGGGTAGTTACTCAGTTATGTAGTCCAGAAGCCTTTGTTTGAAGAAAACAAGAGCCTCAGCCCACCAGGGCTTCTGTTCAAGTTTGGTTAGACCTTTTACACTCACACACAACTACAGCACACTCCTCTTAGGGATGGATTCACTTAGCAGGATATCACACAGGAAACACAGCAAGCCAGCAGGGCAGCATGAGGCAGTTCTCGCAGCTGTGCAAGAACTGGTCTCACCGTGCTCTCAAGTGACAGTTTAGGCTGGAGAGAATGAGATTCAGGCAGAAGAGTGCCATAGCCAGCTTGGCTTAGAAGTCCATGCTGTACAGAGGATCAGCAACAGTCACATGATGCCCAGTTAGGGCGTGTCCAGTTACTAAGCTCACCGTACTGAGGGAAACCTAAAGCTGTGGTTCCCACCATGTACTTATTGTTCATTCAGTCCTCCTCATCCAGATATCATCTACTACAGGGTCATTTTTGACATCAGAGGTTTTGCCTGGAAACTCAGTTGACATTTTACCTTTATCAGAGTTCTAGGGGAACAGAGGTAGAAAGTAAATTCAAGATCAAATTTATCCTCAGAGAAGGAAGTTTGTTAACCCTTTACTCACAGAGTCATATCAACTATTGCTGTTAATCTGATTGCAGTAATTATACTAAGCTACCACAGGCCTAAATGTCAAAGATAGAGACTTGGAGTCTTAGCAGTTATGTGGTCCATCTTCCCACCTGATGCAGAAGTCCCCTCTGAGTCACCATCATCATAATACTTTGCATGTATCTGACTTTTACCGTAGCAGTAATTTTAAGTGGAAAATAGAGTGTTACTGGTTTAGTCACTGGACATGCTTCAAGAAAACTCATTTGGTAATGTTGATGACAACAACAACAAAAAGTATCTTGACTTATGCTTTTAATTTATATCTCCAGATATGAACCTGAAGATTGAAAACTGGAAATTTCATCTGGAAGCTGCCACAACATGAACGTATAAGCTGTCTCTCACCTCAGGCATGCATTTGGAAGCATTTTGTCATATCCCTTCTTATTTTTCTAAGATATAGACTTCAGTTCTAATATTTGGAACTAGAGTTCCTATTTCCAGCTCTCTAGTTGAGAACAGAGAAAACCTAGTGATTCTGGCTGGTCGTCCCTCACACCTCTCTACCGAATGCTCGAGAGTCTTAGTTCACATGCGGTGAGAATTCCTTACAGTAAAGAGATTTTTGAAGTGGGAAGAAGAGTCTTATCTTTTTGCATTAGTATATAGAGTATATCTTTTTGATAAATGTTAGAGAAGTTAGTAGTGTCTATACTTGTGTATTACTCGAGTAAAAATAAACAGTGTTATTAAAGATTATTATTACAAATAAATATTCATCTTTTTATTTTTAAAAATGAAATCTTTATTTACTTGATCATTAAAAAATGTATGATTCATTGAAAATATGAATATTGTCTATTATGGGTAGCATTTTTACTAATTGTAAGAAAAATTAATAGTAGTGAACGTAAGGATTCAGTTTACTTCTTGAGTCTACTTTGAATGCTGTTTATTGGAGGAGGTTCAGACACTTTTTGCAGCATGACTTCTCATGAGTCTGTATTACTGATAGAGAAATCAGATCCATCCTGTTCTTCTACAGTTTAGAAAGTATCTGGACTCAGAATAAATGTAATCTTTATACTCTTAAATTACATGCTTAATAAGAACACTTTTTTAAAGACTTATATGCAACATAAACTCAGTTACCAAATCTCAAATTGAACTTTTGATTATAATTTATTTATGTAGATCTACAGTAATTAATTGAATAGTCAAAAGATTTTCAATATATTTTCATTAACCTTGCTTTTTTCCAGGTGATTTTGGATAAATCATTAAAAACTGGTCATTATATCTGTAGTTGTGTAGTGCAAGGATACACTATAAGGATAAATAAAACTAAGTCCATAAAGCACTAATCCTCAGAAAGAGAGCACTTACTCTTCACACCTTAATATTCTATCATTTTTCCCACTTGCAAAAGTAAAAGTGTCATACCCTAAATGATTACTCTCTGCTAAAAGATATCATTCCACCTCCACAAATGAAGATTTTGTTCCCAGAGAAGAGTTTACTAATCAGAGCATAAGCCTTGTTATTATTTTTATTCAGGCTTTTAATATTAGCCCTGAAGCTGGGCTCGGTGGCTCAGCCTATAATCCCATGCTTTGGGAGGCCGAGGTTTGTGGATTTCCTGAGCCCACAGGTTCAAGACCCGCCTGGGCAACTTGGCGAGACCTCATCTCTACAATA